TCAGGGGCGTAAATGTGGGGGGGGGGGGATGGTGGTTCACTCCCCCCCCAGAGAAATGATCCAGTCTGTCTCAAACTACGTGCAGTCGGTCTCAAAATTATGCGTTTGTTTACATGCAGTGCTTTGCGAAGCAAATTAAATATTTTCGAAACTCGAGATAGACTCAGACTATTGAGTATTGAGTTGAAAATTTGCTCAAACAGAAATAATATGAAGAAATATTACGTACTTATTTCGCGAGTTTATGAACGAATTATCAGTCAAAACACGCGCCAGGGGATGAAGTTTCCATTTACTTTCCAAACATGGAGATATCTATATGTCACGATTATGTGTTGGCACTTTTATTTGGAATTTAGGTTCTGCAATTTAGGTTCTGCATTCACGGGTGATATTGATCTATATTAGCGAAAATTTCAACCCCCAAAATCAGAGTCCAAAATGCGATGAATCTCTATCAAAATAGCTAACATTAGTTACTATATTTCTCCGGTCCCTAAACTATATTTTTAAGATGCAAAGTGCCAAAACGAATTTCTAGCAGAGTTATATTAGGAAGTATATGTTCACATGGAACACGATATGCATATGCATTTCGTTACCAAAGAGTTTTACGTGCCTACTGCAATCAAGAAATTCGATCAGTGAACAACGCACTGGTTTATCTGAAATCACGGAGCGAAAAATTGTTTCCACTGACTAGGCGATGTTTCCAATTGTTGCTTACAGTCAGGCCCATCCATAACTAGGTATATGAGTCAATCGAGTTCAAGTTCAATGACAGACAGTAGTTCTCTCTATGTAAAGAAGCATTATTCTTGCCCTACATTGACGTAAGAAATGGGAGGCTGTGTGGGTGCACAAGTACCCCAATAACAAAAGTGGGGGCCAGCGCCCAAATATTATAACAATTGAGCACAAACACTTTATTATTATGCACCTGATCAATGATGTTCGACCAAAAATATTTGTAATTCGTAGCCTCAGGATTGGCGGCAAACTACAGTATAAATTATAGTCATTGTGTCACTGTTTATGAAATTGATATTTCGTTTGAACTGCTTCCAGAATGCAGGAAATAGCGTTTCTAAGCCTTAGAAAATCAAAAATTTTCTGGGGGAGCATGCCCCCAGACCCCCCCCCAGAAGTGTCTCGGTCAATCAAAAATCCTATAGTTACGAGCCTGACAGTTCCTGTAACATCCACATCAGCCGAGCGCAGCTTTTCAAAGCTGAAATCAGTGAAAACTGTTATGCGTTCAGTAATGAACCGGGAACGTCTCGGTGAACTCTTGACTCTTGCGTGTGAGCACGATCTAACTGACACGATCGATCTTGACGAAATCGCTAATCCGTGAGCAAACCTGACTAAACGCGGACACTTAATTAATAAAAGTATAACGTTTCACAGCAAACTGTATGTGTTCTTGCAATATTCTTAATAAATGACATCAATTTCCATGCTTTGTACTCAATTTTATTGCAACACACCAACTCACCAAGAGTCGGTCTGGATTCACATTTCAGCGGTGGGTCGGTCTCATTTCGTGATTACACCCTCCCAGTCAAAATCGATATGTCCGCCCCTGAGTACAGTCCGCAAAGGGATAGCTACCCAGTGTATATTATATGCCTTTCCAACGGCGTGGAGTTCGATTCATGTAGGCTGTGTTAAGCGATTCCTGTATTAATTAAGCGATTCTTGTATTGATTAAACACTTAAGCGTTAAGACCGATTTATACACGACTCAACTTTGGCCTAAAATTGTCGCATGCAACCTGCTTACAACTTGAGTTGTTCTGTGTAAATCAAGCATACGACTCACCTACGACAGACCTTTCCCCCCGAGACGAAGTCGTTCCAGAAGGGACAAAAATTAAGTGTTTTGTTATATAGTGCGGTAGATAAACATTCACAAAACAATTACTTTTCTCATTTAATTAATGTAAATTATTTTAATAAAAGAACCTGTAAAGAAATAATGTATATTATTGTAATAATAAAAGAACTAGCTAGAGTTTCAGTTCTGCTACATATACTGTATTATGTTCGTGAAAAAGTTCCTTCTATAAATAGATACTTAGATAGATACTTAGATAGATAGATAAACTTTATTTAAACACGCTGACCCCGTCAACCGAAGCTGATTTCCACGAGGGGCGTGCGAAAAGTATACAGAAAAGAATTTTAAAACTATTTACAAAATTATATAAGATACATAGTATTATATGAACTAACAAACTAAGGTAATAATCCATATACAGGTAATATTAACATCTATGTTTTATTAACATCAGGTAATATTAACATCTATGTTGTTTAATACAGGTAATATTAACACTTATGTTTTCACTCAATTTAGATATTTGAAGTGATGGCAGCTGGTCGAAGCGGGTAATAATTTTTCACTTCTTTCCAAAAGGGATATGACGCATTCATCCAAGACGACGTTCGCCGACTATGCCGGAGCAAAATACCGTATTTACTCGATTGAGCGTCGCATTTGAGATCAACAATTTTTTTTAAAGAGCGCCGCCCCCTTAAAAAGAACGGATCGTGACTCAATCCTTACGGCCATATGGAAACCAGGCTTTTCAAGTTAGCCCGTTTTCCACTTCGACCGTATCGTAACGTAACCTACGATTTTCATTGCCCTGGACCTCTATATATAAGGGAGAACAGTTTAGAACTGACAGAGGTCTAGCTTAGGTTTCGGCGTCCATAGATACTTTCATCCGGTCGTGACTAATAATGGATGAATCGCCATTTCTGCAACCCTATAGGGTTGAGTTTAGAGTTTAGAACTGATAAAGCTGTTTAGTATACAATATAAGTTTAATTTTACTTTACTATCACCAACATCCCATACTAATCAAGGGTAGAAGGATAAAATATTTTCGATACTCACAGCCGGTTAAATCTTGCAAAATCGACCAAACTCAAAATTAATTTCCAGAATCCCAAAGTTCTATTGGGAAGCTCTGATTCTCGTAAATTTCCATGGACAATTTACCATGCATTCACAAATCTACAAGAACAAATAAAATGTTAGTTCAGAAGAAGCCAAACCAAATACAAAGACAAAGACGTCACGTCCTTTAGATAAGACAAAATGTACTTTTATTAACATGCAACCACATATTAATACATAATGTATTTAATTAACACCCAATTGCGACTCCGTAAAGCCTTACAAAAACAGTGAAATAACATGCAGCGTCTGTCCGGGAAATATCCATATCCATGAAAGATTAAAACGTGATCTCACGCGAAGTCAACTATAAAGTGACAGCATTGTAATAACTTTTCGTTTTCCTCAGTGATCTTAATTACATAGATTGCAAACTGTTGTTTTGGACACAAAATACGCTAATGAAAACACGAAAAAGTGTAATTAATGCCATCAGATGTATTGATATATGATTATAAATAAATTTATGAAAAACGTCAAGGCTTGATATAGTATAGATTATAAGATAGGCTGACTGAAAGCATTATCTGTGATGATTGTGGAGGAGCTTGTATACACAACTGATACAAAATCTTAATTTTTTTCTGTGTTGGTGTTACTCTGAGTGTATATCCACACCGGACAAGCTTGAAAAATATGCCTGGCCACCTGCCACCAGTGGCGTCCCTAGCGGTCCCGCTGCGGGACTAGAAATTTCAAAAAAAATAAGGAAATGTTTTATAGTGAAGCCAAATTCACAGCTTTTCTTATTCTGAAAATTTATAAATATTAATTATGATCATTTTTCAGTGCTTTCATTTATTTATTTAAAGTTTACGCAATGCCGCTGTCTGCTCTTTGACCTCTGAAACCCAAAATTAGCTAAAGCCCGCCGCACACGAGAGCAACTTGCTGAGGTAAGTAGCTCTCGTGTGCAGATAGTTTTCGTGAGGATTCGACCTCTCAAGGCCTTGAGGAAAATATCTATCGTGTTTGATATTTTTCACCTCGCGAGAAAAAAATCTCATCGTCTGCGGATATTGTGAGCTAAGTGCTTAGCTATTTGAATCAATTAGCCAATGACAAACCATAGTTTCTTCATGTGACATGGAACAAAATGTAGGAAAATCAAATAATTTTGTTAATTATGTTGTTGTTGAGTAGTTTTCCCAACGTGTGCGGTGAAAATACATAGCTGAGCTAGCTGCCACTCGAGGCGGTTAGCTCAGCGAGTTTCTCTGGTGTGCGGCAGGCTTAATTTCCACGCAATTAATTGCTTACTCACGCAATTCGTATAATCGCATGTCTCGTGTTCCGCTGATTTTCATATGGCGGAATATGCAATACTATCCTACAAGAAATTCTGGTTTCTGATTGGATAATTGGCGCAGCGCATGCTCAGAACAGCTGTTTTTAATGCCGAGTCCCGCTATTTTATAAAGGCGGAGGTTGTCAAGTCAATTCCATATATTATAGAACTCCGCGAGTATTTGTAGTAGAAATACGACAAAAATTCCCTGCAGACCAAAGGAGTATTTTTGTGCTAAATCTACATGTGCATAAACACATAGTGTTCTAGCCGACCATGGTTTTAAATTCAAGGAATAATGTCTGTCAACCATATGTTGTTGCGCCCATAGTGGGACATGGGTGTTAAGGTTTCCTTCAAAATTTCAACAGCAAATCTTCATTGAAACGAATTTCCTGCAGCTGTTTAACATTTCTGCGAGCAGTGCTAGTGTGATTACCTATTTTTTCCACCCCTGACCACAAAAATCATCTGTTTTGCATCAAGATATTGTGAAACACAAACAACTAGTCTACCGGACATGTGACACATGCAATATTTTGCAATATTCAAATTATGAATGAACGTAATGGACCATTTGCATTATAGACTAAATTTTGATCTAGACAAAAATTTCATCACAGCTTGAAAGAGCATCACAAAATGAGTAATATTCCAAAGTTTCGTTGCGAAATGTTGTAAAATGGGATAATATAGCCATGCGAAGTTTGCCGTTTTTCAGTCCTTTTGTATTACGCACGGGAAATTGACAGCCCAATCGGGTGTTGGGGCATCAATTTCCCGTTTCTAATGCAAAATGACTGAAAAATGCAAATTTCGCAAGGCTATATTATCCGCATTTTACAACATTTCGCAACGAAACTTTGGAATATTACTAATTTTGTGATCAAGTTGTGATGAAATTTTTGTCTAGATCAAAATTTAGTCTATAATGCAAATGGTCCATTGAATATGAAAATGAATACTTTCATGTATTGTAATCGGATTTTTGCAATGAACTAATCAAAGGCAGTTGAGGCCGATTCACTGATGAGATCAAATGAAAGATAGAAGTAAAGTAGTTTGCAGTTGTTCTTGCAAACGAGCACCGTGCGAATTTTGCCATTTGTCGTGTTTCTTTTGCCAAATCAAAAGAACGAACGCGCGCTCCAGCCCGATTTCCGGTTCTGAAAGGCCCGATTCGCAAGCAAACAGTGCGCGCAAACAGGCTGGCCATTTCCCATTGCTTAAAGATGTTGCTTTGCAACATCCGTGAGTCAAAAATAGTCGAGAACGATAAGTGACTCGAGAGCATATTGTGATGCAAAGTGTTTTCAAGCAGCTGCATGCAAAGGGCCTCTTCGTTCAGTCCAGTGCTGGATTAACAATATGGCAGAAGCCCCCGCGCTTACTCGAATTTTTTATTCCCTGTTTCGGCACGGGCCCCCAGACAAACATAGTGCTCAGCAGATACACACTTTTAGGTTATTACCTGCTTTAAAATCGAAGTATTGTAATATGTAGCTGTCAGCCTGTCACATGATATTATTATTATTATTATGTTTGTGATGTTACTCTGAGTGTATATCCACACCGGGCGAGCTTGAAAAATATGCCCGGCCACGGTGGGAATCGAACCTACGACCTTTGGAATACTAGCCCAATGCTCTGCCAAGCTTGTCCGGTGTGGATATACACTCAGAGTAACATCACAAACATATTCACCTGAGTACACAACACCAACACAGAAAAAAACATTATTATTATTGTTAATTATTGAAGAAGATTGTTATTGCTGATTGAACAACCTTTCGTTTACTGTTATCTAGAATCTATCTTTAGAAGATAATGTGGTTTTTTGCCGAATCGAGCACCGTAATTTATTTCAATACAACAAAATAGTCCCGCCTCACATCTAGTCCCGGCAAAGAGCGATCATTTTCAGCAAATTGTGCATGCTGCCTATGATTTCTTGGGGGTGAGGTAGCACTTTCCTTGCGATAGTAACTTCTAGTAATTTATTATTCCAATTATACAACGTGCTGCCTGCTTGGGTTGAGTTAAACTGGCTTAAATTTTAGTTCAAATTATTGATTTCAAATTAATGATGTATACTTCTTTGTTTTTGTAAATACACAGGCAACTTTTCAACTCGCAAGGAATACAAAAGGATATTTTATAAGGGGCATGTATACTGAAACCCGAAACGAAACGACCGAAACCACTAAAATTAGTCAAACATAACAGAAACCTACAGCCACGAGTAATTCGGTTAAAGAGCCTTTGCAAAAAAACCCAAGAAAGTGATGCAAAGAAATGAAATTTGCTAAATATGGCCGCCAGATATATGCGGCGGATATATGTGTTCGCGTGCATCTTTTTTTTGTAATTGCACATACAAAGGGAACTTGAAAAAATAACGATAAATGGGAAAGATAGCTAAAGCTATAAAAATTTTGAACTTACAATATTTAAAAAAAAAATACTTAGGGCCCCGTGGTTTTCTAAAAAAATACTTAGGCCCCCGTGGCTTTGTAGATAACGAAATGCAACTCGATTTACACGAAACAGCGCTATCAGTACGAGTGTAGCATGTCAGATATGATGTTCTTCTCGTTAAAATTTGAAGCAATTTATTATCTATTCAAGAATCTTATATATATATACAACAAACAGCAGACGCGTAGGATATTGATCGTTGTCTTGTTTAGATCTAATAGCAGTTAGGCAGGGCTTGAGTATCCTTTTGAGAATTCGAGTGAGCCAATTTTGAAACAAGGATATTTTTAAATCTGTCAAATCCTTTACGAATCGAATTTTCAGGTGTTGAAAATGGCTCTACTGTCGTTAAATGTTTTTGCCATATTTACTTTGAAGAATATAGTTTCCCGCACCTCTTCTAAGGAGTTTTAGTATAATTTCAGTATTGAAAAATGGCTTTTTAGCCGTTCTGACTGGCTCCCCCTCAGCAGTAACTCTGAGGCAATAGTTACTGCTCAAACTGCTCTGAACAGTAACTATTACTTTTCCCAAAAAAATGGCTGAAAATCAAACGGAAGTAAATTATTTATGCAAATTATATTCATAAAATAAACATATATGTATTAGTTGCATTTATGAATACAACTTTTTCAATACTGAAATTATACTAAAACAATTAGACTAAATAATGAGACTAGAAAATGAGACCTCGTTAGTTATTCACCAACAAATTTAATTCACCCCCTGATAATATTGAAAATGTCGGACGTTCAGGGGGTGCATGCCTCTCGTGAAATGGCGAGTGCATTTTGATAACGAATCATTGCGAATGGTTACGCCTTTTTGGCTGAGCAGGACTTCTATATGGTTTCTTTCCTGTGGTTAAATGAGAACTAAAGGCCGATTTTGTTGCATTTCCCCCCTAAAGTAGCACTGGCATTAAAATTTTTATTGTTTCAAACGAAAGAACTCACAAAACTGTAAAGTAACTTCATTTGAAAAAACTGGTTCCCATGGTTTGTTCTTAAGATATTTCATTTTTTTGAAACCATGTGACGTCATTTACTCAATTACATATATAATACATACATAATGGATATCAGTAAATGTTGTGTATCTTTGCTGTTTTTGACGGATTTGTTAGGAAAAACAACAGTATGCTTAGCTTAATGATGTAGGTTAAATTAACAAACGCGCCAAATCTTTGGAAAGAATTTGATAAAAATAGCAAAGATACACTGATTATATATGTAATTGAGTAAATGACGTCACATGATTACAAACACAATGAAATATCTCGAGAACTAAGCATGCATGGGAACAAAGATCTTCAAAAGAAGTTATTATACAGTTTTAAGAGCATTTTCGTTTGAGAAAATGAACATTTTCATGACAGTGCCACTTTAATTAAACTGATAATTGCCTAGACACATGAAATCCTCAGATCTCACGACGTTGTAGAAGAAAACGAAATATTTAAGAAATCCACAAACCTTTAGAAGCTGATGGGAAACTCGGATCAGTGCTAAGCTTGTCCCGAACGGCAAATAAATTCAAATGTCTTCACTACTCAACATGAAAACCTAAAAGAGCGATATAACTGACAATCAAATGGACGAAGTTAATTAGAATATTCTAATGAGTTTTAGAACGCTTTAAACACTAAGATAGCGGATACAACGCGGACGCGAATGTTGTAAATAGCGCCGAGCTTAAGACGCACCAAATCTGCGACTGCGACTAAAAAACAGTCGCTAATAATGGGAGAATAGTTTTTCTTTGTTTTTCTCGTGTCCCTGGCTTTGTTTACACCAACAACAATCCATAGTTTTTACCCGTCAGGCGAAACTGTTGATAATAGCGGCAGTTTTTCGTCACGTCTGCGTCGTATGTATGTTTATAAGCTCCCTAATGGCTTGTGAAATATCTTGATGAGAACATTCGTATTCTTCAACAATTTCAAATAAATGAATGATATTTGGTGAGAAAATTGAACTTAAAGTTTATGTAAATCAACATGGTTTTGTATCAGATATACAAACTCCTTCACGCTCATGATTGTGTTTTTCATGAATTATTAATGACTTTCACAACTGTTTGCTATCAAATTTACACAGTCGCCGACGTATAATATCTCTACTGGTAAATTCACTGATATTATAGTTAGATGAGTCAGGAAACCTATACCATTGATATTCCGCAAACGTTCAAAACTATCTGTGTAAAATGTCATTCTCATCCTTTTTTTGCCTGGTGTTTCTGTTAAAATAGTAATTTATTATCGTATAATAAATCATTCTTGGCTGGTCTGTCATCAAGTGTACCATTTGTATCAATTAGCTAGGTTTGGTTGTCCACTGATAATGGAGCGAGGGCTCAGCTGTGGGTCTTACCTGATAAGGCCAAATAAAAAAATACTTGGTTGGCGTCACACTCTCACAAATTTTCAGAGGCGGACGGGCGTTGTTTTTGTTTAATTTTTACTCGTTTTTAAAATTTTTTAATAGTATTTTTTTGGGGGGGGGAAGGGGGGCGGTTTTTCCAGGCATCAACTATTTCACTGACCTCAGAATGACATTTCGTCAAAACTTTTTTCTTCAAGATTGGTTTAGAAACCAATTTGGAGTAGGGTTAGGTTAGGGTTAGGATTAAGGTTAGAGTTGGTGTTTGGAGTTGTGTTAGTGTTAGTAAAACCGTCGCTTTGTTACGTTTTGGCACTCTGAGGCCAGCGAAATAATCTCTTCCGTTTTTCCACCATTGATGTTGCGAAGGCCGCCATTTTGATACAAGAACCTTGTACCCAGGCCCAGGTGTGAGCATGAGGAAAATTTCAAATATTAAACTGTTTTAAGCTGTAAAACGAAGAGATTAACATAGAAAATATTCAGAGGCGGCACATGAGAAATCGAGAGGCGGGCGGTGACGCTAACCAAGTTTTTTTTCTCAGTATTTGGCCTAAGGTTGGTAAATAAAAATAAATAAAATTTTTAAAAATATGAGGTCAGTCATCATGAAACAGAACTAAGGTTTTACGATTACGCTTACCTAAATACATACTTAGCCTACAGACTATTTTATCTTCACAACAATTGTGATATTACTTTCTTAACTGTGTTTATCCTAACCCACCCTGTCAACTTTCCCTGTGTGAGGAAACTGGAGGACCAGGAGAAAACCCACGACTTTCGGCAGAGCGTTGACTCACTCTTTTATCATTTTAACAACTTTATTACACCACATCATTATACATTAGAAATGGATCGATATACAAACAGTAATATAGATTATTCAATAGACAAAAGCCCAAATGATCGACGATACATTTCAAGTAACATTACATCATAACATATAGAGCAGGTTTAAGTCCCAGAGTTACCTTATTATAGGAAATTAACGATGCACTTTTTTAACGCGACGTAAATTAACGTGTCATCTAATTAACGCGAATTGCTTTCACGTATTTCTAAAACTGATTAAATTAACGCGAATTGCTTTCAGGTACTTCTAAAATTGATTAACGCAAATTTGACAGTTTATGGTTAACAAGTTAATTTAAAGGTGATCTACAGTCCGTATGTAAACAAAGCCTTTGTTTACATTTTTGTGTCCAAAATATTGAGCTTTATTCGACAACTATTTATATTTTCAAGCTTCTAGAGTATAATAAATGATGAAGAAACAACAATCAGGCTTTTCAAGAACTCAAAACATAGTTAGACTGTTTGTATCATAAAAAGTGGGCTCATTTGTGCACATGCGCAGATCGGACTGTAGATCACCTTTAACTAACGCGAGTCGAAGAATATAAACACAACAGCAAAAGTATTATATACTACCAATTAAAACAGTACGCGAGTAGATACATATACAGTATCAAAACTGTAACGTTGAAAGTTACAGTCATTTAAGCCAATGTATATAAATATATATAGTTCAGCTTAAGATTCTGACAGTGACAGTGAAGAGGTGGACTGATGTTTTTGTTTTGAGGTTTAATATGATGTATTTTGAGTTAAAAGAGACAAAGAGTTCGTGTTGTATAAAACAAATCAAGGTCTTTTTAATTAACGATAACTAAAATTTGCATGCTTGAAATTAACGACAACATAAATTAATGAAATTAACGCGAATTATTAAAAACCGCGTTAATAAAGTGCATCGTCAATTTCCTATAATAAAATAAATAGCAAATAATTGCAAACCATGATCAAATGTGCTTTACATCAAGTATCATACGCTTACCTAAATACATACTTAGGCCACAGACTATTTTATCTTTACAACAATTGTGATATTACTTTCTTAACTGTGTTTATCCTAACCCACCCTGTCAACTTTCCCTGTGGGAGGGAACCAGAGCACCCGGAGAAAACCCACGACTTTCGGCAGAGCGTTGACTGACTCTTTTATCATTTTAACAACTTTATTACACCACATCATTATACATTAGAAATGGATCGATATACAACCACTAATATAGATTATTCAATAGACAAAAGCCTAAATGATCGACGATACATTTCAAGTAACATTATACATAGATAACATATAGAGCAGGTTTAAGTCTTAAATAGCAAATAATTGCAAACCATGATCAAATGCACTTTACATCAAGTATCTATCATACGCTTACCTAAATACATACTTAGGCTACAGACTATTTTATCTTTACAACAATTGTGATATTACTTTCTTAACTGTGTTTATCCTAACACATCCTGTAACCCATCCCATTTTAACAACTTTATTACACCACATCATTATACATTAGAAATGGATCGTCGACAGGATCGATATACAAACACTAATATAGATTATTCAATAGACAAAAGCCCAAAAGATGGACGATACATTTCAAGTATAAACATGCCTCCATTAACAATTATAAAATAGAATACTATACATAGATAACATATAGAGCAGGTTTAAGTCTCAGGTTTTATAATTAAATAGCAAATAATTGCAAACCATCTCAGTTTTAAAGAGCAATTTGAGACATCGAATGATCGCAAACCATTATGACAATATCACTTGCCTTTAATTGAACGTTCGTCCGCTAACTTTACGTTAATCACCAATGGCAAAAGCAGTCCAGCACTAGGCCTCTCCCTGGTTACAACCAATGGCAAAAGCAGTCCAACACTGGGCCTCTGGTTACAGTAGGTCAGTATATTAGCCAGTGAGGATGCGTGTAATGCACATACGAGATAGCAATTGACACAAAATAACTGCAGTATATAATAACATTAACCCACTTGGCGAAAGGTATTTTATGACGTCGAGCGGAAGATAAGATAATCATGTATTTATCTCTCGTTCGTACTCGCCCATAACTGTATGAGTTTCGATTTATTTCTGTCAACATTTTATACATCAATTCAGACATCACAACATATAGCTCGTAATGATTAATATTGCATAGTTTCATTTATTTTTCCGAAACAGACAATTAAGAGAGACAGATGGAATGAATTCGCACTAAACCTTTTTATGTGAGAATGATGATTGACACGCGGTGGATTTAAGTGGAACTATATAAACACCGAGTTAAATATTATTATGTTTTTATGCTAAAAGTGCATAGCAATGTGACATTATAAAAGAGTTCATCTTTTGGCCATACAAGGCTATATTTACACTGTACCAAGTCAAGTGTAAACAGGCTAAAAACAGCTTCCGTATCCGAAAAAATATGAATCCGGAAAAATTCTCGCGTACATAAACGCTTTCGCATATTCCGATAGGTATCACATATCAAATTTGTTTTGATTTCAGAATTTTTTCGACAAGGGCGCTTTCCTTTTAATGGTCTGACCGGTCAGACCCGAATTCTTTTCTCTGTATCAATGGAAAGATCTGGTCCATGTTTCTCAAATATCTAGCGAATGGACCTCATTCTAATGTTATCTAAATTTTCCGGTCAAATAGGTCCGAAGCCCAAATGATTTGTGTTCCATATCAATGGTTCCAATACAACAATTTGACCGTTCTGACCGTGTTAAGAGGGTCCCCTATACTTTTTGCGTGAAGCGTGAAGGGCTTATTTTACTTAGGCGTGAAACGTGATCGATGATTTTCTTAATCCGTGACTCGTGAAAAGGCAAAATATTTTTACGTGAAAGCATATTGTGAAGAGGTATAGGGGCCCCTCTGTTAATGGAAAGCGCCCATATTCTCCGCAGACACTAAATTAAGAATGATCGTAAGATAGCGGCCCTTGACGAACACCATTGATGATCTCTTCGGGCTCTTGTGATGAAGAACCGCCTTCTCTCGTCACGGATGTATGTTTGTTTCTAGGAACATATGTAAACCCACGGTTGTTTTGTATTGTATTTTTATTGAATGCGGAAGCCACATATATAAATTAGGCGCAAACAATATAAAGATTAAAGCGGTCGCAATACATATACCAACCCAGCCTCGTTGACAGCTGTTTCCCGAAAAAGTTGTATTTCAAATTATTAAACCTTGTTGACAGTATATGACAGTGTATACTACAAAACAAATTATTAAAAACTGTTGATAGTATACTACTAAACTTATTGTTAACACTGCAACCAGTATTAATTATGTGGAGTATGTATGACATCGCAGTATGACGCCTGTATTCTAAAAGCTCACTGAGTTGTTTCGACGCTATCTCCAACATTAGAGAGTTTAAGTTCGACTACCGATACTAATACCGATACTAACAACAGGTCATGCGCATGCTCTCTGCTCGCAATAAGCACGAGGACAAGTGTATTGGAAGTCACCACTACCGAAGTCGGCTTTGTATTGGAAGTCGGGGGAATTGCAAGATAAACTCATATAAATCGGGTATTTCATAATTTTTACGATAAACATGTAAACTATTTGTTTATTAGCATCGCCTGAGTCATGTTTTAGTCGGAATTTTAGCTCAGCTGCATGCCGTTTAGTATACCGCACATTTTCGGTCACGATTATTGTGTTCTATACTTTATCTGTCGTGATAACTTAACGCTTTGAAATTCCCGGTACCAAAATGAGAACGGAAGTGAAAACATTGGTATCGGTATTAGTATTGGAAGTCGAACTTAAACTCTCTATTGAACTGGAGGAGAGGGGGCCCGGTGACGAAGTTTGTTTTGTCATGGACATCAACGTTTAATAAAAGAAGAAGAAAGATAAACACGAGATAGAGAAGGTTTTCATCTTTTCATGTTCACCGAAAAAACATCTGCCCTCGCGGATATAAAGTCATTGCCTTGACCTGGGATGGCTATTGTTATACAGTATTATAGAAACTAATTAAAACTAAAATTAAACCATAATTGTGTTTATACCTCCGGACCAAAACGTCTTTTTTTTTGGCCCACAGACGAGCAAATTTTTTTTACTGAACGAAACTGCGGTTAGTTCCGCCAAACACAAAGAAAGCCACAAAGTTTTGTTGAACAGTTTATCCTTACAGTCAAAACGGTAATACCTGTACACTTCCGCTCAGTTGTGTAGTTTGTTCTGTTGTACTGTATTTCAGTAGCTGCTGAAAAAATATTTGTTCAAAAATCGTGTATTTAAAGATATAACTAATAGCTGTCTGTTGTGTGGAATTTATTGATTAGCCAACGCATATTCCATCCAAAATAATGCCAACACTGGCAACAAACAAACGTAAGTCATTAAGTCAAGAATAAGCGGTTTCTTGTCAGTAAATTTTCCGGAGATTCTATAGAAATACAGTATTACACAACAAACTACAGCAAGTGAAGTGTGCAGGTATCTCCGTTTTGACTGTAAAACTATTTATATAAGAATAGAATTACTGAAAGCCTAGAAGTTCCGTATTTTTAAAAATTCACAATCATTGCGGGGGCTGCAATACAAATTGTTTATTTTCGTTGTATTTCAGGTTTTTTTCATTTTTGGGGAGAACAGTTTAGAACTGATAGAGCTTTATCCGGTGCACAAATGAAGTTAGTCGGCTTATGCCTGGTTCACACTGGTCGTAAAGCCGGTTTTCCACTAGCGATTTTTTTCGCACGAAGCGACATTTTGCTATTGTTTCAGAGCTCTCAGCTGCAACCATCTGGAACAAATTGCCCAAAGACAAAGGAATAAATTCGCTTCGCGCGAAAAAAATCGCTAGTGGAAAACCGGCTTTAGAATCGGGGATTTCCATTGTCTGTGGTCATTGGTGTGTAAAATGCTTTGTCTGTCGGAAAAGAATACAATAGATCGCCAATGAACCAGGCTTTGGCCTTCCTCCTGTAGTAAGACTGGACTGATGTAAAGCACGCCTCTTGCTGGACCTCGAAACTCTAATAAAGAACAGACGTCACTCGAACCTGTTTGACATTTGTACTAATTTGAAAGATTATAATAGGAAGCAATTTTTTGTACGTATTAACGTATTTGCAATGAAAAGCCAGTGTTCAAAACCTAAAATCTTTTTGGCGTTCCTCTCAAAATTACTTTGTTTTAGCTTCGCTTTAAATTTAAAATATTAAATAATGTTAAAAACTATTTTTACTATTATTTAATGTTAAATATTGCAATTTAAATACAATTATCATTGACGGCAATGATGCTGAAAAATTGACGCCATATGGCATATATTTATAGCAACAGCAATTGATATAAGCAAAACTTACTGAACTTCAGACATCACTTTTCTCTTTGGCGTACCATCTAAAATTTCTTCATTTTAGCATTATTTTACAGATAAAGCAGTGAACATACTTTTTAAGTTTGTTTGAAACGTATTAAAATTTTGAATACAGTCATAAGCAAGTGGAAAGTATATTCATTAGTTTTGAGCTCGTGTTACGTAACATACAAAAGATGCTTCTCTTACTTTTGTTCCAAAATAAAAACATCCATACTCTATATTTGTTTATATTGCGCGCATGTAGATTACATGAACGAAAATTACATGCACGAAAATTACATCATGGAACAAACTGATAACAAATACGTTTTCACTAACCTTTTTCAACAGCACTGCACACAGCAGACAAATTATATTCGGAAGACACTGTTCCAAAAATTTTAGCCTCCAATTCATATAAAATCCATTTTCAGATCCCGAAAGGCGAAACTTGACGCTTCTTCCCACAGGCGCAAGTGTTTATATGACGTTTCTCCAAATCACCTGGCAGAAAAATAAAGTACACAAATTGTCGTAATATACATTATTTATTACGTTATTAGTCATTTCAACAATTAAAATGGGAAGTAATTTTCGGTACATGGCCGACAAAAAAGAATTAAATATGTATCGATCGCCCTGTGGCTAGCGCTATCGGATGGAGTCTCATCCCAAAGGCAAAGGGTGGGTGACCGCGTTCCATGTCTCGAGTGCGCATTGAAATAACGCGTCCGGGTAAATTGCCGTTCAACTGTAAATATGCAGCCGAGACTGAATTAGAATATACATATCTAAATATTCAACTGTTCAACACATTTGAATATGCAAAAAGTTGCTAAAATTGAAAAGACAATTAGTTTCCAAAATTGGTTAAGTTTTATTCCCTTAACTTAAGAGTGAAGTGTTGCTGTTATTTTTTATTTTGCTTTACGACAAAATAAATAGATTGCTGTAGTACAAATATTATCCTCGAGTGGTTGCGTTTAATGATTGACATGTATACTATGGATCAAACGTTAACATGCATATATTAACGCTCCCGGTCTGTTTTACTGCAATTGACTGGACGCGCATTTGAGACTCAGAATTAGCAAGTTTGCCAACGGAAGAAAACAAAATTATTTTTGTATATCAGTCGAGCCAAAAACACACTGACATTACTAAATTTTAAAAGCACTTTATATCTTTCTTTCAAACAACCCTGAAATTCCCTGAAGTAGCAATAGAAAGTCAACTCACATAAAACACCCCAAAGACTTGAACGTTTTACTCTGTTGGCGTGCTCATGAGCTGTGAAAATGATGTACTACTATACCGTAAACCTCCGACTATAAGCCCCCCCCCACGAATATAAGCCCCCCGAATATAAGCCCACCACATATAAGTTCCCTGAATATAAACCCAGTAGCCCACTACGTTATTCAACATTGACATTGTCTTTTAATATAGCAGAGAACGATATTTAAAAACATGGTCATTGTCTTTATAGCCGACTATGTGAATCAAAGCGCGTTATTAATACATGTTTATTTTCCTGTTTATGACTGACTTGTTTATGTCTGACTTGTTTATTACCAACACAAAAGATCGTCTATGTATTAGCCTCCCCGTATATAAGTCTCCCCTTGTATAAGCCCATCAAAAATCGCTTACGAAAGTATATAAGCCCATGGCTTACGCCTTATAGTCGGAGGTTTACGGTAAAATGCTCATGGGAATACAATTTATAATCGCCTTTGTCTTAGAGTAAGGATGCTATTATTGACGAGCACGTTCTCGTGAATGCAGTCAAACAATCATATACTCGATACGGTATACGCGAAGTACTAAGTACCGTCATCTAGTAAGCGTCATTTAGACCAGGGTCAAACCTCGAACTTTTCATGCGCCGAACCTGATGTTAATGAGCTAAGTTCTTTGTTTTACTTCATTTGCATTAGGTTCGGCGCATGAAAAGTTCCACGTTTGACCGTGGCCTAATTTTGATTAAAAACTCTGCGCAAATCTATAATTAATCATTAAACATATAGATAAGCTACATTGTCATTATTTTTCACGTATTTTTCTTCTAGAAATATAATATCGAAACGCGATAAACAGCCACAATATAGCTTATCTTATCGCCTGTTATTCACCCCCCCCCCACCCTCGCTAATTTTGCATTACATTGACATGAGCAATTATTTTATTTACACTTATAATAAGCGATATAAATACAGTCACGTAGTTTTGTGGCAAAATGACGCGTACCGTTTCGTAACGGTTTTAAAAATATTTCGTCTTAGTTACTTCTGCAAGTGTTTTCGTGCGCAATACTATATAAAAAATTGCAAAACTGAAAAACTTCAAGTGTGAATGACGTACTCTGTAAACTAAGCAATTAAGAGTTTTATATAGAACCAGCTGCATATTAGTTTCTCATCCCCCGCGCGCATGGCTTTTTAGGCAGGAGCCTCGATGGCCATTATTATGATTTTCGTCCATTATCACGAATCAAATTTTAGACATTCATTTGCAAACTGATACCATTTCTTTCCTGCCTTAGATGCTGCTTCGAAGCTCAGATAGCACCACAATGCTTTACATTTTAATATCGCACTGGAAATCACGGAAAATTTTAAACAGAAAATTGTACGAGCATGCACAAAGGCGACACTCCGCATAATTAATGGTAATGGCCGCTCGTCCGCATCAACTTTGGGGACAGGTAGTACACTATCTAAAACAAATGTTTTAATTAAATAGTAGTACAAAGTTGTGACATTTGAGAACTGCGCGATTGAAAATATCCCTGGAGACAGGGACGCCGGCGCCAGAGGGGAGGGTGGGGGCTGGAACACCCCCTCCCCAGTCGTCAGTTAGTCGGCAAATTATTGCATCCCAGTCGGCAAAACATAAATGGGATAGGAAGGAAAAATTTGGGAAAATTTACGGAAACATTAGAGGAAAACTAAACGAATAACGGTACGTCAACGCAAAAACTAATGATAAATATGTCCCAAAAATTTCACTTACATGCATGCACCACCCATTGAAACAGGGCTATATAACGCTGCTTAAAGAAACGGTCAAATGTAGCTTAGCCTCACGGACGTCCTTAACATGCAAATGAAGATGAGAGTTAGAAGTCACGCATTGCTAAGCCCTTTCAGACGAATCCAAAATTCGATTCAACATCTTGCAATATCTCCCCTATTCTAAGGAAGCCAACTGGATGTTGCATTCAACGATGTTAAATGATGTTAGACAAACATATTGGCCTCGTTTAAACAGAAATGTATTTATTAACGCAGCGACGGGAATTCCAACAGCTCAGATAAGAATTACCTAACAGTATTATATGTTAAGCAACTTGTTTATAGATTATATACTGATCAACTTGTTTAGGTTATATAGCTTACGAACGAATGTAACTAATGTAAGCCCAGGGCTTACATTCGGAAGTTTACGGTATGTTTTAATTCAGTGAATAGAATACATGGGGTTAGGAATTTTTAGGCCCTAATTTCATAAACCCTAGTTTAAAATCGATCAAGCACTCACCTTTGAGACTTGGATCTTGCCAAGAGACTTGATCGGCAAAGACGGTCCTAGATAAAAAGCTCGAACACAATGTTTTGTCAGAAATGATCAATCACTACACAGACAGTTTCACGTAGTTTCTTGTACAGCCTATATGCAAGGCTATGTTATACGTCAGCGGGGACGTGGGCAACGGGGGGAGTGATAACTTGTATGGCTAGTTATATAATAGACGTCATTGTATAATAACACCGAATCTTCAATTTAGATAAATTTTTTATGATAATTTGGGTTTCAGGGCGACACTTAGCTTTAGTCAAAAAAGTTAAATGTGATACGAAGACACAACAACTAACAACTAACAACAGGTTAGCATTATTTCAACCTTTAGAAATGTATTGTCTTTAACCTATTAGATGCAGGTTTGCATGACCAGTTGCTATGGTTAGCTTTGCCACTGCCGACGAATGAGAGTGAAACGTGACATATATAACAGGTCGCCACGCATGAATGAATGAAACAAATCCGAGAGTCAGTTGTATTGCAGTGGACATCTTAATTTACTTTCTGAAAATTGTTAGGCACACCACAGGCGGCCCAGACGTGTATTAGTATATTGTAAATATATAATTATAGAATATGCTACACAGTAAAATTTGTAATGAATTTCATATTTTAAAATATACAATTACTTTATGGTTTCCGTGTTTGGATGGCCTGATCCAAACACGCGGAAATGTTGCGAGAGTTAAGAAAAGCGCGCGAAACACGAGCCGAAGGCTAGTGATTTTGCGCGCTTTTCTTAACTCGAGCAACATTCCCAAGTGTTTGGATCAGGCCATCCAAACACGCAAACCATAAAGTAATTGTTTTATAAAATAACAACTTTCCGTGTTAAAATTTCACTTTAAAAAACTTTCAGTTTAAATTTCCGTGTTTGGATGGCCTGATCCAAACACGGGTTTCAACCAGGGCGGTTTCGACCAATCAGAGCACGCGTTATATACGGCATGTTATTTTATAATCATATTTACTTGCCTACTTTGATTGTATGTGATCGTCTTTTAGTTCTGGGCGACTTCACACTCTGTGCCTGCGACTGTCTTCATAGGTGATAATCCTGCGCATAGAGTGTAAAGTCGTCCAGAAATAAAAGACGATCATACAGTCAAAGTAGGCAAGTAAATATGATTTTAAAATATGAAATTCATTACAAATTTTACTGTGTAGTATATTTCTATAATTATATATTTACTATATAACTGATACACGTCTGGGCCGCCTGTGGGCACACTGACTGAGTTAAGCCTTAAGGGTTTATATTTTACACAAAACTTGGAGAATAAAAAATTGGGGAATATTATTTTTGAAATATAAATATCTTTTCTGGCAAATTGTACTGTATAGAGTAGTACATGGACATGTCACAATTACGTATGCAATTGATACAAAATAGGAACTAAGTTTTTGAATGTTGGATTCCAGTGTAACTATAGCGATGAACAACCAGCGAGGTGTATAATATTTCTGGAGTGAGAGCTCAAGACCAAAAAGTGAAGCCAAAGATGGAGCTATATTGGACGTCAGTTTCAGTCCCTTTCTGTTGTTTTTGTCTGCGCGGTCTGCAAGGAGTGTGCGTAAAATTTCGTATTTTGACATTGATTTAAAGAATAACACAATAGTTTTATGAACTGATAACTTGGTTAGCGATACGGTCCGTTTGGAATTAACTGGAAAAAATGGTATTAAAAGTTTTTGCGACTTTCATAGATATTGGACGTCAATGGCCGCCATTTTGGCTTCACTTTTCTCATTGGCCAAATGACTGGAGTCCTCGCTCCAGATATATATATATATATATATATATATTATTAACACTTATAGTTTTTAAACAGTTCTGAAATCGTTTGCTGTCATATAAACATTGTCTTGCATATATATGTATAATATAGTATTCCGTATGTTTAATATTCGCTGCCACCCATGTTCAGATAAGTTACACGCTACCACTCTTCTGATAATGTAAGCGTAGAATGGGAGAAAGGTAGCCGGCAAGCATTTCAATATGAATCATGTGTTTGCCAATAGACCTTATGCAAAATGACGCCACAAGGCTTGATGCCCGCGAGCAATGCTGGTCTTAGTAGTCATCGCCCAGGAAAATTTCGATGCCATTGTTTAATTTTCCCGGGCTACTAAGACCAGCATTCCTCGCGGGCATCAAGCCTTGTGACGTCATTACGCATAAGGTCTATTAGCCTGTTCCATTGAAATGAATGTAACTGGAACGCTACCTTGAAATAAATACTTTTCTTGAAGCCAAATCAAAACCCCGCGTGTTTATGCCTCGCGAGACCAGTTCAGATGCCGTTTTAAGTCTATTAGGAAGTCTTACCTGATAAATGCATTAAATTAATAGAAAGCTGTGTGCGCTGTTAAAAACGGTTAATCCGGTTTTCAAGAAATTCATGTCGAAGATTGACCGTGCTATTTGTATTTGCATGCGTGAAAAGACTGGGACTGGTCTTCGAGTTGGCTTCAAATTTCCGGTTGGAGGTAGCGTTCCAGTTCTATTCAGTTCAGTGGGCCTAATATGGTCCATCATAACTACTTATGTGACAAGTTTGCGGCAAGCGATCGTCTCGCACCTGTCTTCTTGATTGGCTGCTCAGGTTTATTGTTTACTTTGTATGTTTTACTCATATCAATACCAGATACCTCACACGTGCTAGACTGTCCTGTCACACCATTTGTTTGGTACTCAGTGAGAAACCTTTCACCAACCTTTCTGGCTGTTGACAGAGTCGATTGTCTTTTTTCATTCGATAACCTACACAAACAAGAATATGTAAAAAACTCAGAAATATATATTATAGTAATTGAACAATTAGAAACATTTGAATAGCCGATGTGTCGGAGAACATTAGCATACATAACTTTAATAATTATCTTAGAAACTTAGCTTCTTTTCAAAACAAGGGAGATGTTACTGGACTGGTTACCAGACTCCTACTCAGTCTTCTATGTATATATAATTACGTAGAGTATTCAATAAAGTGTTGTTATGTGTGTGTACAAAATTGCGTCGTAGCAGATAGCTCTATTAGTTATAAACTGTTCTCCCCAGAGTCCAGTAAAGGCCCACATTTCCACTCAAGAAAATTTTCCGCGGAAAGAATAATTTGTAAAATGTGATTGGCCGACACAGATTTTCCGTCGGAAGAGAATTTTGAATTTGAAAATTTTCAGCTTGTGATATTTTCGGAAATTTTCTGTCCGTGGAAAAAATCTCTGTCGGTGGAAAATTTTCTTGAGTGGAAATGAGCCTTGAGAGATGCAGTGATTCCGCTGGTGGAAACTTAAACTGAAGTGGATTATTAGGAGATGCAGCTCAACCCGCTCAAGTGAAGGCTCTCTCCTTAAAGGCATAGTTCAGCCTTTGAATGATGGGTTTTAAGGCACATTACAACACTTTCAATTGAAAAAAAAACTAACTAGGAAAATCAATTAAGCATAATTCAATATCAATGATCTCAATATTTTTAACATTTAAAAAACAATTTTTTTTTAAATGTTAAAAATATTGAGTTCACTGATTTCGAATTATGCTTAATTGATTTTCCTAGTTAGTTTTTTGTATTAAAAGGGTTATAATGCGCCTTAAAAACCATCATTCAAAAGTCTGAACTGTGCCTTTGATACTCGTGTCTTCTCAACATTCCCGTCCAGTTGAAAAAAAACCCCGGAGTACCCGGAGAAAACCCACGACTTTCAGTAGAGCGTCGACTGACTCTTTTCACATAAGTGTCATGAGTCGGCAGGAATCCACCCCACCCGGATCTCTCCAAAGCTGATCTTAGATGGAACATCCACGCTATTCTGCAACGGAAGCCTTATGACGACTAAAATGGATGACATAACCATAGATGTATATTTATTTATAAAAGTTTAAATGATTTAATTGACATTAAATTTGAATTAACGAAGAACGAAGACATTCACAGCTATTACACAAGAAGAAAAAACGACCTCCACCTCCCAAAGACGAACACAAACAAGGGAAAACAAAAACCAAACTATCAAGCATCAAAAGACTTTAACCACCTAGAACCAGACATTAGAAACGCTAACTCCTTATACAAGTTTAAAGCTCTATTAAAAAACGCTGTGTAGGCGAGAATTACATAGTAAACATAGTCTATATATATATATATATATATATATATATATATATATATATATATATATATATATATATATATATATATATATATATATATATATATATAGGTTGCGGATTGTTGTAAAATAAGGAAATATATAGCCCTGTGAAGTTCGTAAATTTTGTATATATTTGCATTACGCGCGGGAAAAATAACCATTTTTGAGCCGAAAGTGGATATTTTTACCGCGCGTAATACAAATATATACAAAACTTGCAAACTTCACAGGGCTATATTTTCTTCATTTTACAACATTTAACAACCAATCTTTGCAGTTTTACTCATTCTAAGACGCTCTTTCTAGCTGTGGTGTTGGATTTCGTTCTTCTTGCCTTGATCAAAATTTAGTCTATAGCTGGAATCACCCAATGAGATACGTTAGACTTAATGTTTCAGTAGAGTAAATCGCAGATAATGTGGTTAAACCCATTTATGTGAGTAAGAGCACTTTTTAGCTTAAAGATTAATTCCAGACAAACAAAATCTACACTATTACATAGTCTGAGTTATTTCCAAACCTCAATTCTTCTTAAGACATTTTGTACTTTATCAACTAAATCAAAGTACTGTTCCTGTTTTCTCCTTGCCAGCATTTCTTCACATTTCATCGCATTCTCACGATCCCGTTGCAATTCCTCACAATCTTCTTCAGTAAGCTGTCAATATGGTGGATAAAGTGATATATACATAAACACTGAACTATCATGACATTTTGAGAGCTTTAAATCTACACTCGATAGAACTAATTGCGGAACGGTTTTGTAGATGGAAATTTAGGGTGTGAATTTTATACATTTACGAGACCTAACCATGCAGGAGCAGTTGCAAAAAATGCAACTATAGGCCATCTGGCAGGAATCGAACCTGCGATTCCAATGCAGCGCTATAACCAACTAAGCTACAGAGTCCAGTTGTCGAGCTCTAACCACAAGTTCATGTATATCAGGGCTGCCAACCCTGGAAGTTTTCAAATCTGGAGAATTGATATTCCATTGAAATCGATGACGTCACGTCGGAAATGACGTCATTATCAAAAAGCCAACTATGCAGTTGTAAATACCTGCTGGTATATAGATATATACACTGGTTTATTGTCAAACTTTATTATCAACACAAATAACTGTTGATTTCAAGTTTCACATATTATGTACTAGTTTAATAAAATATTGACATCTTTAATGGCGTCAATACGGGTAAAAAAATCTCTGTAAGATGAAGTGTTTACGGGAAATGGCGCCATTCAACCGCTGATTAAAAGCAACACAGGCAGCAACGAAAGAATTTTATTTTTCCAGCAAAACGAAGTTTTAATGTGCAACGCAAATAATTTTTATCGTTAAAACCTTTGACAACGAAGAATCAAATGGCTAGTGCATAAATCGACGTTGGTGATTATCCTAATCCGGGAGAATTAAGACAAAATCTGGAGACTGGGAGATTAGGTCCAAAATCTTGGTAGCCCTCCTAAGGTGACGCCGATGTAAGGTGTATGGATAAATATCAAGATTTTTTGCATCAAGATTGCAGCATATATTGTGACTTATAGTATAAATGAATAGTAACATCCAGGTGATCTCGTGTTCGTATTTTAGCCAATCAGCGCTCAGAAAGGGTTGTCCGAATAGAAATCCATTTTGATGTATTCAGTCAATTATATCTTTCGTTATTCTTTATGAAACTAGTTGAAATTTTGTAATTATGAACTATAGCTCTGACAAAAATATGGAATCGAAATAAAGTATATTACAGGAGATATTCAGTTGTTTTAATCATAAAATGGATTTCTATTTGACAACTAGTGCCAGTACTTTTCCGCGTATCAAGATCACCTGGATAAGGTTGATATAATTGCTACACTAAACTAGAACATCACTTAAAACAATGTAATATGATATCTGCTTTTAATGGTTTACTAATTGACTAATGACTAATAAAATATGACTGTATTGTTTGCACACATAGTAAACTTCAAATTTATAAACTATTAATTAAATTAATGATCCATCCAAATTAAAACTACAATAACTTCTTGTTATTATTAAATGTTTCATGCAATCAAAGTCCAAATTATTTGCATGCAAGAGTAAAAAATTGTTCTTTTACTTAAAAGGGTTACTGTTCTTCGAAACGCAAAAGCCAATATGTAAACAATCCAATATACATACCGATGGAAGCGCAGACACAAATGAAAACAGAACCATTACCGATCAAAAATGTCAAGCCCAAAAACGATCCAACGAAGCTTCGATTCAACAATGGTTAATGAAGTCCATTGGCAGTATTACTGAGGCAATAAAGGGGAACTTGGCTGGCAATGGTTCGAATAACCCACCAACGCAAGAATCCATACATGACATGGCAAACGAAGCAAACAAAATTGTGCACGAAACCGTCGAAACATCGTTTGCTAGCAGTATAAAACTTCTCGACGGCTCTTTCGGCTTTCGCACGGTGAAGATAGGGGAAGACCCGAAAGACACAATAACATTTTCAATGCCCGATTTGCGAAAATGGGCAGAAAATTGCAAAAGATCGATACGAAATCTAACATCCAGGAAGCGCTGGCAACTGTAGATTCTGTGCTTGCTCGTGTGACCAGCGAACGCTCTAAGTTGTCTGCATTACTTGATCGTTTATTCAACGCTCGTTACAGTCAGGAGATTGTCGTCGAACAAATGGGTACTAGACCACCTATTAAATCCCTTTGGTCATCACAGCAAGAAATACAATGCAGTATTTAAAAGCTAGCTGCGGCAAAGATAACAGTTATTATAAATAATCTTTGTAAAATAAATTCTTCGTTCTCTTCATATTTTCTTATGTAATGGCATGATAAAGTAATTATTTATGAGAAAGCAAATATGACTCTAGTTGCAAAATATAGTTACGATGTTCTGAGTTCTGACAATTTTTGAAACTCATTTAAAGTGGCCATCACTATTAGTTGGTTGTAAATAAATATTATCATATTGTTTTATTATTATAACGGATGACTATTACAATAAGTCTTAGGTATTGATAAAAAAAGTGGAACAATGACTTTTTATTTGTTTAGTAATAATTTACAGACAAACTAGAATCATATGTTCGTAATTTAATATTGAAACTTTTTCAGTCATTTTGTTTTCTTAGGCGAGCTGTGCAAGATTTTGGCATGGCAATAAGTAGACCGCCCCCCCGGGAAAAGCATATATACATATTCCGCATTATTCGTTCACGGGGGGGAGGAGGCCTCACTGTGAATATTTTGAAACAAAACAAAACGAAAACAAACACTTTCAAATAGTTTCAATGATTTCAATAAAAACAAATTAGGAATAAATGGGAAACGTAGTTAGTTCGGAGCAAAATTCAAACGAAGAAGACATCGGTAACGCATTATTTGAAAAAGTTCGTTCATTCCACGAAGAAAATGCAGAAAAGATCACTGGAATGCTACTAGAAATGCCGCCGAAAGATTTGCAAAACATTTTCGCAGACGACACGAAACTCATGTACAAATTTACGAGGCGATCAAAATTTTAGACTATGAAACGGAGCTGACAAAACTCGAGTCGCTCGGTGATGTTTTGTACACAGAGGTTGAAGCTGTCTATTCTGAGCACGAAATAGCAGAGAAAATCACGGGGATGTTGTTGGAATTGAATGTGGACGAAATTGAACGTTTGATGAAGCATAAAAGCGAATTATTGGTTAAAATTCACGAAGCTTTTGCAGTGTTGCAAAGACATAGTGATAATGAACTTAAAAGGTGTTAAGTTATTCTGACTCAAACACAATCTCACACCCAAAGTACTGTAATTTTCTTCTTAAGCCCCCCCCCCCCCCTCCCCAAAATTTTCACAAAACTCCCCACATATTTGAAAAGTATTTCTACAGAATAGTTTTTTAATTTCCTTAATTATTTTGTTTTAGCCCAACTATCAAGGAATGGCCGGCATCAAAAACAGAATTGGGGGAGAAGATATTTGAACGTATATTACAATGGTACATGGATGAGGAAACCACGGCAAAATTGACTGGCATGTTGTTGGAAATGAACATCGATGAGATTACAAAACTAACACAAGAAGATGAACTACTTAAATGTAAAGCCGATGAAGCGTTCAGAGCTCTAACGATACAAAGATGATTACATAGACAAGGAGGTCTATATACTTTATTACTGGTCAAATTTAATATTTCATATATTATATACATTCTTTATTTTAAGTGGAATTTTTATGCATTTATTAGATCTAACCAGGAGCAGTTGCAAAAAATGCAACTATAGGCCCTCTGGCAGGAATCGAACCTGCGGCCCTGCGATTCCGGTGCAGTGCTCTAACCAACTGAACTACAGAGAGACAGTTGCCGAGTTCCAACCACAAGTTCATGTATAAATACTAATGAATGAATTTGTGGTTAGAGCTCGACAACTGTATTTCTGTAGCTCAGTTGGTTAGAGCACTGCACCGGAATCGCAGGGCTGCATGTTCAATTCCTGCAGAGGGCCTATAGTTGTATTTTTCACAACTGCTCCTGGTTAGGTCTTAAATAAATTTATAAAATTTACACTCGAAAATTTCTACAAAACCTTTCAACAATAGTTACATCGAACGAGATCCCCAAAATCCTGATATTCTTCCACACTACAGTCTACAGTGTTAGCCAAGACATCTGTGACCATGCTTTAATGATAGACAGACAGTGTAATCCACACATCAAAAAAAAAATGCATATTCTTCTTCAAAATGCATCCAAAATCACAGCATTTGATAAGTTCATATAGACCTGACTCCGTTTTTTTGGCCTGCTCTCGATTCCTTCCTCATTTTGGGCTGACTTTTGCAAAGCATATGACGTGGTTGCCCTCTTTTTGATTTTATATCTCTGTAACCATGGTGATGGTGAAGCATTTCGTACTGGCCAATGCGAACCGCAAACATCAAAGCGGTCCTCGGGATGACATGTGCTTGAATTTGGTCCATGAAGAAACCTCGTTTTCGACTGATGGTTTCCTCTCAATCCCGTTAAATTTGCTGAATCTTTTTTTCCTCCTAAACACATCCCAACCTTTGAAAAAATAAAATGAAATCTCAGGTCTTCCAATAGAGTTTCCTATATCGGAATAGTACATTTTAAATGAGCATAAAAATTAAAATGCCCTAAACTCAATTATTTTTATCATCCCATTCTTAAGAACTTCTGAAATGATGTAATAACTTATTTTGAAGATTTTCGTTTGCTCACTTTGTTTCTGAGATATTTCAGTTTCTCTGGTATGCAAATATCCGGAATTTACGTCACAAATGCAGAATGATTTAAAGTAAAAGCTTGTATATCGTATTCACTATCGAGTTGAATTCATTCAAATGAAGTTTGGAGTTGTGGGAGGATTACATATACCTATGTAAAACACCAGTTAGCCTTTTTATTTCATGATATTTAACTGTACCTTACATTCTTTGATCAGTCATTATTCATATGTGACGTAAATTCCGGGCATTTGCATATCATGATATCAATAAAACTGAAATAACTCAGAGACAAAATGTGCAAACGAAAATCTTCAAAATAAGTTACAATATCATTTCAAAGGTTCTTAGGAATGAGATGTTAAAAGAATTGAGGTTAGGTGCACTTTAATGGATAGGCTGTAATAGTTTCGGAGATATTTTCAAATATAGCAAAACATGTATCAATTGTAGGGTTTCAATAAGCGTTACGAGAGCAAGTCAATGTACAGTCCTACATATTGCGCTTTTGTGTTCAATTATGTCTGGCATTATTGGTTCTCTGTAACGAATAAACAAACCCAAGTACAAAACAAATAATGTCGCTGTTCTGTTGGAACAAGGATTAACATTCAAATATGGGATGAGCTCTTGGGCCTTGGCAGGAAACTCATTTGGCGCTGTTGCAAATTTTAATATGCGCTCAATTAAAGGCAGTCGATCTTTATCTACGAGTTTTCTCCTTTTGAACAAAAGCATATGAGATGGTAGACCCTCTTCAGTCGTATGTGAGGAAAGTGGTCGTTGCACTCTGCCAAATACTACAACTTTCATCCGGGTATACTGCAGTTTCCCGCACTAAAGCCAGGATGAGAGTTAGCAGTCACCCTTGTAACATCCTTGTTATAGCATGACTGTATCAGACTTGTTAGAACAACCTTGTTAGAACAACCTTGTAACAAGTTTGATAATGCCATCACGATTGTTACAAGTTGTTAACAGCTTGTTCCAAACTTGTTAGAACAACTGGGAACAAGCAGTGCGAACACAACTTGTCGACAGCTTGTGAACAGATTTGTAACAACTTGTGCGCTTTAAATACACTGAGACCATGGGCATGGCGTTTTTTATACTGACATACCTGTGACTGGACCGCGGTTCGACCCCTGTTTTGACTTGCTCCATCATTTACCAGACTCGCCTGGGTGCTTCGTATCTTGTTGGGGAAAAATCCATTTATAATCCTGCGTGGCCTGCTGTTCTTGCTTACATGACTATCATGGCAAAAAATGATGCTACTCATATCCACGATATTTGGACACGAATAATTCTTGGCCTCCTTATGACTTGTACTGTGAAACCCTTTCAAAATTCGCTCTCTGTCGTGCAGCACATTTTTGTTCGGCGGAAAAGCATCCTTGATCAATCGTGATTGCTTTTCAGACCACTTTGTCATTACACCAGTCAGATGAAAGGCGTCTTGGTGAGCAGATTTCGGCTCCTCGATCAGAAAAGGGAAAAGCACTGGAGCTTTTGTTAACCCAGACTCCCTTTCCATCGCAAACTGTAAGAAAGATAACTTTAAACCATAGACTTGCCTCGATATACCACCTCTTCTTAAAAATCTAGCACTCGATAAGGCAAGGTGCTTGGAATCACTGATTGAAAAAAATCACATTTCGGAGAAGCAATGATTGATTTCACTTTTGTGAAACGTATTTCTTATACTTAAATAAACGGGGTGTCAGTTGAACTTTAAAGTCTGTATTGAAATAACACCCTGTCCGCATACACAATTATTTTCACTTTAGTATGTAAACGAAGTGTTTTTAATCCATTTTGACAAAGAATCGCAGGAATTATTAAATATTTGTATGGAAGAGATTTGCACGCCGTTCCTAGGTAACGACCAGTAATGTTAGGTAAATGAGCTTTTCTTTTGTCTTCCTACGTACGTACGCGGCGGTGTTAAAGCGCTATTTCATGTAATTTCAATAATGGCTAAACCAACAAATACATCTATGCAACGTGATTTGTCGGAGCGGTTCAGGTTTTGGCAAACACTAGCGTGAAATGGCTTCAATTGATGATAACTTTACTGCTTAATTTTAAAATATCATCATTTTGCACACCTGAAAATAAATTGTTCCCACAAATCGACTGGGCGTAATTTTAACATTTGCATATAACTAGGTGGCTATCGATTTGTCTGTAGGTAATTAGAGGCTATAGAAGCCGAAACAGATGGCCTCAAATATACCTTTTCGGAAAGAACGTCACTTTGGCCGTATGGAGCCTCGTTTTCGTGTGTGTGACATCAGTTAAAGCCTAATGTCGCAAACACGAAACCAAGGCCCTGTCATTGGCCTAGATGACGTAGACTTGCTCCAAGCACTGAACTATATACAAGCACTGAACTATTGTTATACAGTTCACTGGCTCCAAGTCTCGTTCGAATTGGGTTCATTTATTATATGGTCTATCCAGTCTATTTCTGAGATCAGTTTAAACTGATCTCATAATCAACTGGACAGACCTATTAGAAATGAAAACTGACCTGGTTACAGCCTGGATGGATCAAAACCACTTTGAGCGAGATTTGTGGCAAGTCTACAACTTAGCTTACTTGGTATGCATAGGAGCCTAGCGCTCTAGCCTGCATAGCAGGTGTTCGTTTGTTGACATTCACAGCTTTTTCTGTGCAATAGTGGCAAAAAAATATCACTTTGTAATTTCATCTCTCGATTTCAATGCAAATAAAAAACTGAACACACTGTAGTCTATGACCTTTAATTTTCGATTTCTATGAAATTTGATACAGTATATGTCAATGATGTAATAATATTATGTTACCACTTGATTAGCTAACCTTTTTCTGAAGGAATTAGTTTACTATATGTACATAAACCTCACGTTTTTGAGAAATGTTGGTATTGAATTCATACATGTAAAATGGCCAAAGGAATGAAATAAATATATACATGTACTCTGAACACCAATGAAGACAAAATAATCGCTTATCAAATGTCGACTATCATATTGAGATAATCTATGTGTGTAAGGTAACATTTTTAACTGAGTTAACAAACTCTCAATTCACTATGACGATTTCCACACAAGTATCGCTGTTGAGCCAGCAAAAAACAAGTACAATAAGTTCTTCAACCAGTATTAAAAGATGGTTAAGGGGCCACGTTCCTAGGTGTATTATATTTTGGTATAAGCTGGTATTTATAAGCTGGTAATAAATTATGGTACTTGTGTACATATCACCTTCATCAATTAGGGAACAATGTGAACTAAAGAAGAAATTAATTAAAGAAGATGCTCTCACATGGTTTGACAAAGATTCTAATAATGAAGAAAATATTTTCCTGAATTATGTTGGTGGTGTTGATATCTCATTTGTCAAAGGTGATGACAAACATGCCTTATCATCTAGAAGTATGATTTATTTAATTTAATATCACACCGATGTAAATGTTTAATAAATTGACTTAATAGGGGTGCACCGGATTTCAAATCCGGCCGGAATTCCGGCCGGATTTAACGAATTTTCCGGCATCCGGCTTCTGGCCGGATTTGGAGAAAATCCGGCCGGATTTAAATTTCTGTTTTCACCTGAAAAACTTCACCAAGAATGGGATAAACCATCAAAACCGCCATTTTCAATACTGAATTATCACAATTTATCCCCAATTGTCCCCATTACCGGTTTATCTCAAATCCGGCCGGAATTCCGGCCAGAATTTTTGTCCAAATCCGGTAAATCCGGTTCCGGCCGGATTTGAAAATTCCAAATCCAGTGCACGCCTAGTACTTAACGCTTCATTGCATTGCGCTTGCAGGCATTAACTGCAAAAAATACTGTTTATTATATATATATATATATATATATATATATATATATA